TATCCTGCCATACAGTTGGCTTAAAAATCAAAGCTGTTACCAGAAAATGAAACCAGCAAAGCAAAAACTTCAGTCGTATACCAGTCATGCATTAGAAGTAAAAGGCTGCATAATCTTGCAGACTATATACCAGAATCGCACCTTCGATGTGTTGTATTATGTTGTGAACACTGATAAACCACCATTGCTATCAGGAGCGGCAAGCAAGCAATTGCAATTAGCTGAAATGGAACCAGATGGTCATATCACAAAAATATCAGAACCTATTGTCGTGTGATGCTAGCAGTTATGCACTAGGAGGAGTTCTACTACAAGAAGGACGACCCATTGCTTACACATCGAGAGCACTAACTCCAACTGAAATGAGATATGCTCAAATCGAGAAAGAGATGTTGGCGATAGTCCACTGTTGTAAGAAATTTCAGCTCCATGGTATTGTAGTGAAAGGCGACAAGTTAAGAATATGCTCCGACCCTGAAGACCTCAATAGGGCAATCAGAAGAGAACATTACCCGATCCCAACAGTTGAAGAGGTAGTGGGATCGATGGCTGGTACAAAAGTCTTCTCTGTAATAGACGCAAAGTCAGGCTTCTTACAAATAAAACTTGACTATGAGTCAAGCCTGGTGACAACGTTCAATACACCAATAGGACGCTACCGTTGGTTGAGACTACCATTTGGAATAAAAAGTGCTCCAGAAATATTCCAGAAAATAATGGACAACATGCTAAGTGGCATAAAAGGAACTAGAGCAGTAATGGATGATATCCTTGTAGCTGCCGAGATGAAGCACACCATGACTCAATAATGAAAAAGGTAGTCCAACAAGCAACAGACTGGAATCTGAAACTCAACTTTGACAAGTGTCAAGTGAAGAAATGTAAGGTGAAATATGTAGGACACATATTAACAGAAAATGGTCTCCAACCTGATTCAGAAAAGGTGCGTGCATTAAAAGAAATGCCGAGGCCACAGTCCAAAGAAGAAGTAAGGAGATTTTTGGGCATGATTCAGTACTTGGCAAAGTTCATACCAAATCTAAGTGAAGTTGATGCACCATTGCGAGAAGTTACTAGTAAACATATCGACTTTCACTGGGATAAACCTCAAGAGCAGAGTTTTGAAAAATTAGTGAACATGTGGAGCAGTACCCCAGTACTTACCTACTTTGATGAACAAAAAGAAGTAACCATACAGTGTGATGCTAGCAGTTACACACTAGGAGGAGTTCTACTACAAGAAGGACGACCCACTGCTTACACATCGAGAGCACTAACTCCAACTGAAATGAGATATGTTCAAATCGAGAAAGAGATGTTGGCGATAATCCACTGTTGTAAGAAATTTCATCACTACATATTTGGTAAACAAGTAACTGTAGAGAGTGACCACAAGCCACTTCAAGCAATATACGCAAAGCCAATACTAGCAGCACCGATGAGACTGCAAGGCATGTTACTAAGGTTGCAGCCATATGACCTTAAAGTAACATACAAACCAGGCAAAGAAGTAGTGATTGGTGACATATTAAGTCGTGCTAATAAACAGACACAGTACCAGACATGAAACCAATAGCGGTCAACATGACCGACTACATAGCAGTAACACAGGACAGGTATGCAGAATTTCAAAGATGCACAGCAGCAGAACTAAACGAGTAACATACAATCATTCTCAAAGGATGGCCAGACACTAGAGAAGAGCCACATGCAATCCGGCAGTAGTGGAATACTAGGGACGAGCTGTCAGTTGTGGATGGAATAGTGTACAAGGGAATGCACATTGTGGTCCCACCAACCATGAGAGCAAACATGCTACGTCAAATACACTCATCCCATCAAGGAATAGTTAAGTGCAAACAGAGAGCACGCAAGTCTATTTATTGGCCCGGTTTGAGTGAACAAGTGGAAAGTCTAGGCAAAGACTGTCAGCTATGCAATGACTTTCAGAATCATCAGCATGCAGAGCCACTAAAATCTTACCAGCTTCCAGAGTTACCATGGAATGAGGTAGCCTGTGATCTCTTTGAGTTTGAACAACAAGACTACATGATCACCATTGACTACTATTCAAAGTTCATAGAAGTTGATCATTTGCCTTCGACAGACAGCTCTACAGTAGTTGACAAGCTAAAGGCACAATTTAGACATCATGGCATACCAGAAATACCGAGAACTGAAAACGGTCCGCAATACTCATCAGCAGTATTTGCCAAATTCTGCAATGACTACGAAATACAGCATCACACCTCCTCGCCATATTATCCTCAATCTAATAGAGAGGTAGAGCGAGCAGTGCAGACTGTGAAACTGAGGCTATGGAAGAAAGTACAAAGACGTAGCCTTACTAGACTACCGCACAACCCCTCTTGCCAGTTGTAACCTATCACCTGCCCAACTCTTAATGGGATGAAGACCCCGTAGTCTAATACCAACGAGAAACAAAGAGTATGCAAGAGTACCTATTTTACTTTAAAACCTGTTTTCCATGGTATCTTATGTTAATACATTACGATATACCAATTACTAGATCTAACCACATATAATGTGCAATATTGTGTAAATTATAGATGCTACCAATTATCATTAAGCAACGAAAGTACCAAATATATTAAAACGGTGTTCGTTGTTTACACAAAACTCATTGGCAACTTTGACAAGATCTAAAGCATTGTGGATATGCAAAAACATACAATGATTGAGACGGACTTGAGACATAGTAGATCGTAAGTATGTCTTAATGCGCCGTAATGCACTGAATGATCGTTCACTGACAGCATTTGTTGCAGGCAACTTAACACAAAATTAAACAATTTTCCAACCTCATAAAATAGTGACTTCTGACTAGAACTTAATGATTTCCAATATGGGGATGTTTTTCAGTAATATATTAGATGTGTATAAGAGACAGCAACCCCTCTTGCCAGTTGTAACCTATCACCTGCCCAACTCTTAATGGGATGAAGACCCCGTAGTCTAATACCAACGAGAAACAAAGAGTATGCAAGAGTACCTATTTTACTTTAAAACCTGTTTTCCATGGTATCTTATGTTAATACATTACGATATACCAATTACTAGATCTAACCACATATAATGTGCAATATTGTGTAAATTATAGATGCTACCAATTATCATTAAGCAACGAAAGTACCAAATATATTAAAACGGTGTTCGTTGTTTACACAAAACTCATTGGCAACTTTGACAAGATCTAAAGCACCTGTTTTGTCATTGTGGATATGCAAAAACATACAATGATTGAGACGGACTTGAGACATAGTAGATCGTAAGTATGTCTTAATGCGCCGTAATGCACTGAATGATCGTTCACTGACAGCATTTGTTGCATGCAACTTAACACAAAATTAAACAATTTTCCAACCTCATAAAATAGTGACTTCTGACTAGAACTTAATGATTTCCAATAGTTTAACACTTCGTGAAACGTTTTCAATGTTGTTGATTCGGTCTTGTTTGATTCAAGTAATGTTGAGAACATAGACAAATTGGATTCCAAGTTATGGTTATCAAAATCACCTTTGTAAAAATCAGTAATAAAGTGGAGTTCATCAGATATTGATATACCATTAGCAGCTTGGAATAGGAGCTATTCACAATTAGAGTATAATTTATAATCTGTTTGGTTGAAGCGTTCTTTGATTCCAGAAATAATCAAGTCCATACCTTCAAAATATATCATTCTAAAAAAATCTTCAACTGTGGACGCATACTCTGGATTAGCTAGGTGGCGCTATATTCAGCCACTCTCATTCATTGTGAGCGGAAGTTTTTATCGCAATGTTTTTCAGTAATATTTCTCAATCAGAAGATATTTTATTAAATACGATACGACACATTTTCTTGGGAAAAGTGGGGATGTTTTTCAGTAATATATTTCTCACTCAGAAGGTATTTTATTAAATATAGGCCCCTACGACACATTTTCTTGGGAAAAAGTGGGGAGGGGGAAATGCCCTCCCAGCCCCCAGCCCCCTCCCCCGGTTCCTACGGCCCTGGTAGTGGTACCACGTATTACTAGGCCTAGGCCCTAGTATAGTTTGGACCACCACATGCAACCATTTTATCCTCTGACTTCTGTTTGCATGCATAGTGCATTTTGCTTTTCTATTATCGATCTCTGCATCGTTGACATAAAAATCTAAATCGTCCATACTGTATTCGTATTTTAATGGACCTGGTATTTTCAACAGTTTCGCTCGCGGAGAACCAGGGCAGCTGAACGAAAGCCTAATGCGCATGCCCAGAAATGCATTAACGTAAGAAATAACGGTACCGAGCTTATCTTTTCATAGTTTATTTTTTTATTTGATTTGATTTATTAGGTACTCGACATAACAATACAAGAGAAACAAAGACAAAAGAGCACCAGGATTACCCATTAAGCCGCCGATAGTCATGCTCATTTTCAATGGGGTCCTTATAAAACCAATACAATAAGACACACAAAAAAGACAGAAATAGATTTTCAAAATTACAAAAAAGAACAGGCAAATAGGTATAAAAAATATAAATATATATATATACCTTTATTCGGCTCTTAGGGGGAAACTCTTTTCTATGATTTCACCTTAACGTCGCTTTAGTTTCCCTTTAGCGACACTACTTTCGCCTTAAAGTACTCTGTTTTTAACCCAGTTCATTGTTTTAGTTTCCTCCTATGGATACTTCTAAGCCCAAAATTGCAGTTAGTTCATTGGCAGAGAAGTTTGTACAATGGTCCATGATTTTTGCTGTTGAATTTGATATTTGACCACTTCTTTTTTACCTCCTCCACTGTTCGAACAGTACTTCAGATGTGTATAAGAGACAGATATGTATATATATAAAATGTAACAAATGTACAAAAATTCCTAAAATGTTTAGAAAACGTTATGAAAGATAAAATCTGCACAGGCAAGAATCAATTATTAAAAGAGAAGCATACGTTAAAAACATGTTTAAAATTCAAAAGGTAAAACAATTTATTTTTCTGAAAGGTGTTTTTTTAGTTTAGATTTAAAATTACTCTGTGATCTAACAATTTTCATCGTGTCTGGAAGAGAATTCCAATCTCGAATGGAGGAGAAGTAAAATGTTGAGACGGCAATGCATTTGACAGGAGGAACAACGAAATTTAACTGGCTCCCTCTTCTATTATGGTTATGAAGGCTTGAGTTGCGGACAAATCTATGGGAAAGGTATTTGACATTAGTTTTATTAAAGACATGATTAAGTTTGAGAAATTTCACCCGATCCTTGATATTTAGACACCCAAGACTACGAAGTTCTTCATGTCCTATGTGTGACCTAGGGCCCAATTCAAGAATAAATCTAGCAGTTTTATTTTGCGATATTTGTATCTTCCTTTTAAGACATTTGCTTAAACCATAGTACCATGCAGATTCACAATAGTCAAAGAGGCATGTAATTAAAGCTGAGCAAAGTAATTTACGGATTCTAATATCAAAGCCTCTTGCTTGTCTATATAAAAATTTTAATCTTGAATTAACTTTCAATAATGGTTCTGGCAATGAGCTCACATGAGATAGTTTGATCTATTTCAAGACCTAAATACTTGATAGAAGTGGACCCATTAAGTGTATGTCCACATGTGATAATTTTAAAGTCAGTGTTGCGAAGCTTTCCTTTGGTTCCGAAAAGTATGCATTCGGCCTTTTCAATGTTTAATGAGAGCTTGTTATCAGTGAGCCATTGTCGGCAAGAATCTAAAACTTTTCCTAGTTTGGATGAAATAAAGTCAGAGTTAGGATGGGAGAAAAAAATTGCGCTATCATCAGCATAAAGTAATAGCTTACAATCGGAATCTATACTCAGAATTATATCATTTATGTAACACAAAAATAACAGTGGTCCCAATATACTGCCCTGAGGCACTCCTGACGAAATAACTAGTGGGTCGGAGAAAGTGTTACTTACATTTACAATTTGTTTTCTATTTTGCAGGTAAGACCTGAACCATTCGACAGAATCAAACCCCATAAGTTTGAGTTTTTCACAAAGAATTTAATGGTCGACTGTGTCAAAGGCTTCGTGAGAAGAAAGACGCGGAAGTTGGGTTTTTGGGGGGGTCTCTATTCAAATAAGCAAAGTCCTATCCTTTAACACGGGTCTGAAAAGTGACGTCTTCATACTGTATCTCAAATCAATTTGCAAAAAAAACTTTGCGAGGTCCAAAAGTCACGGAACGTAGCCCACCTACAAAGCTCACCTAGGCTTCGTACAACTATCAGGATCACAAATGAGGACATTTACAAATAAGTAACTTTAATCAGTTTTATTTCGTCTGTCTATGAGCCCTGCATGTACTGATGACCTAGCCCAATCCCGTACAGTTGTTGTTTGCCTGCCTCTACTTGTTCCCTCTCATTTTATTGGTTCATAACACATAAATGCGCGCAGCCTTACAGGCATCATACTTCTATATTTGGATATATTATCAAAAGGTACAAGTATGAAATGTGCCAGCACTTCTATATTATGACAACGTTTTTGGGATAAATGCTATTATTATTGTTATTATTATTATTTTTTTTATTTAGGCCTAAAAAAATTTGTTTGCTGTCACATTGTAAAAATTTGAATACAAGGGCGGGTGCAAAAAGTTTTTTTTTTTTTTTCGTAAAATCATAGAAACATTTTGAAAACTGTGTGATTGTCATTTTTATCTCGAAAAAACGATCATATTTTTGTTTTAAAAAATGGTAATTAGTATTAATGTACACTCATACTATAAACCGTCAACAATGCTTGTTGATGGTAATTATTATGACCGCCAAGTAGGTATGGGAATTCGGAGTTGGCGAAGGGCTGAATTGACTTGTACCCCATCTATCTACTGTAGGCTAGCCTAGTATTATCGGAGATGGGACAGTTAATATCTTCACATTTCATGGTGCTTTCAAGTCCACCTGCAATACCAGATAGTGCATCTCCGATTGTTGATAGTACTTTTTGGCTGTGGAGGTGCCTCATTACCCCTTGTCTTTGTGCAATGGTCCATGCTTTGCTGTCGACTTTGATATTTGACCACTTTTTTTTAACTCCACTGTTTAGATACTACTCTAACAGCTCAGTAATCTCTTACCATGCTCTTTTCTTTTTCTGGCTTTTCACCGTCGACCCCATTTATGATGTCCTTTCTTCTGATTGTGCCATCCAAAATTGCAGTTAGTTCATTGGCAGAGAAGTTTGTACAATGGTCCATGATTTTTGCTGTTGAATTTGATATTTGACCACTTCTTTTTTACCTCCTCCACTGTTCGAACAGTACTTCCAACAGCTCGGTAATCTCTTACCACGCTCTTTTCTTTTTCTGGCTTGTCACTGTCAACCCACACAAACTCCCATTTATGATGATCTTTTTTCTGCTTACGTCATTCAAAATTGCAGTTTCTTCATTAACAGAGAAGTTAGTGCAATGGTCCATGATTTTTGCTTTTAGCTTTGATATTCGACCACTTCTTTTTTACCTCCTCCACTGTTCGGATGGTACTTCCAACAGCTCGGTAATATCTTACCACGCTCTTTTCTTTTTCTGGCTTGTCACCGTCGACCCCATTTATGATGTCCTTTCTTCTGCTTGTGCCATCCAAAATTGCAGTTAGTTCATTGGCAGAGAAGTTTGTACAATGGTCCATGATTTTTGCTGTTGAATTTGATATTTGACCACTTCTTTTTTACCTCCTCCACTGTTCGAACAGTACTTCCAACAGCTCGGTAATCTCTTACCACGCTCTTTTCTTTTTCTGGCTTGTCACTGTCAACCCACACAAACTCCCATTTATGATGTTCTTTTTTCTGCTTACGTCATTCAAAATTGCAGTTTCTTCATTGACAGAGAAGTTAGTGCAATGGTCCATGATTTTTGCTGTCAACTTTGATATTTGACCACTTCTTTTTGACCTCCTCCACTGTTCGGACGGTACTTCCAACAGCTCGGTAATCTCTTACCACGCTCTTTTCTTTTTCTGGCTTGTCAACGTTGACCCACACAAACTCCAATTTATGATGTTCTTTCTTCTGCTTGTGCCATCCAAAATTGCAGTTAGTTCATTGGCAGAGAAGTTAGTACAATGGTCCATGATTTTTGCTTTTAGCTTTGATATTCGACCACTTCTTTTTTACCTCCTCCACTGTTCGGACGGTACTTCCAACAGCTCGGTAATATCTTACCATGCTCTTTTCTTTTTCTGGCTTGCACCGTCGACCCCATTTATGATGTTTCTTCTGCTTGTGCCATCCAAAATTGCAGTTAGTTCATTGGCGGAGAAGTTAGTAGAATGGTCCATGATTTTTGCTGTTAAATTTGATATTTGACCACTTCTTTTTTACCTATTCCACTGTTTGAACAGTACTTCCAACAGCTCGGTAATCTCTTACCACGCTCTTTTCTTTTTCTGGCTTGTCACTGTCAACCCACACAAACTCCCATTTATGATGTTCTTTTTTCTGCTTACGCCATTCAAAATTGCAGTTACTTCATTGACAGAGAAATTAGTGCAATGGTCCATGATTTTTGCTGTCAACTTTGATATTCGACCACTTTTTTTTTTATCTCCTCCACTGTTCGGACGGTACTTCCAACAGCTTGGTAATCTCTTACCATGTACGCTCTTTTCTCTTCCATGCTTGTCACCATCGACCAACACAAACTCTCATTTATGATGTTCTTTCTTCTGCTTACGCCATCCAAAATTGCAGTTACATTGTTGGCAGAAAAGTTACTAATTCTCTTTGATTTTGATTCCATGTTGTCAACACAAGAACAAAGGCCTATGCATGTGTTATGCATGTGTTATGCTGTGTGATGCAGATAATAACCCAATTCAGGAAGTAAACAACCAATTTTACAATCTAGATCTGTGCCTTTTTTTATGAAGCAAAAATCTTTACTTTAAAAAAACGTCACTTGGACCTAAATGTCAGTGGCTTCTGTTTTTCTTGTACAGTGAATGACCAATGAGCAATCAAGCTTTAGGTATAGTAGCACATGACGTCCACGTTCATCTTCCTAAATCATTGAGTTGTTAATCCTTATGTTGCATGTGACTAGCCCATAAGTAACTCTCAACTTTATCGTATCCAACATTATTTTGTAATTGGTTTCTAGTTTTGTAGATGCTCAATTTTTTACTCCAACTCTTTATATAGTAATAATTGCTTCTTTCTTGTTCCTCTCCTCTAGTCCTCCATCCTTTTTAAAGTTTAATCTTGGGCTTGGCTTGGCCCTCTAAATTTATTTTATGGAATTTAATATTGGTTCAAACTGAGAATCTGTTGATTTTCTGGGCTGCAGTGTTGTCTTGTCTGTATGCTCGTTAGCATACACAGACATCGCCAGCTGTAATATATCATCCATCGCTTGATTGCTAATCAATTCATCATTTATTATGATGTCAATGTTTATGTAGAATAATGCAATGACCAGGAGGTCACTATAACTTAATTTGACCGTTTCATAACCAGAACTGAAATAAGTTATGGTCTTAGAATCAAATTTATTTACATAAGTATGTTGTATGTTATATACCAGTATATAAATACCATATTAGGAAATATTGTTAACCTGCACTTGGAACTTAAATTATAACTATTTTGAGGAGGTCTGTAGTATTTTACATTTTTCTCTTTACTTAAAAGAAACTCATGATTATAAAATTTTAGTTTCTTTTAATATTCTGATGTTTGTATAGCCTCTATCTCCTTTACTGTATGATTTGTGCATTGATGTATAACAAATATAGAAGTAGTTTCTTTTTTATAGTTTCTTATTTTCTTGCTGGCTCCATGCACCTTCAACCACTCTGTGGTTGCTATCTTCGTAGTCAAGTATTCCTGGCGCTACATAGTAGGGATCATTGCACATATAGTTGTGTAATGTACATGCAGCCATGACTAACTGCGATGCCTTTTCTGGAGAAAGATTAATGCAAGTTAAGAAAACTCTAAATTTCATTGCCAAAACGCCAAAGGCGTTCTCCACAATTCTCTTTGCCCTCGAAAGCCTGTAATTAAAAACTCTTTGAGCGCATGTCAAATTACAAAGTGGAAATGTCTTTAGAAGATCTGTTCTCAATGGAAATGCTTCATCTCTAAGAATATGGAATGATAAGTGGCTATCAGTTCCCGGTAGAGGATCACATTCTGGAAAGCCTTCTATTTAATACCGCCAACAATGTGCAAACAGTAAAAACACCGTCACCAGAAATTCTCCCATTGCAGCCAACAATGTGCAAACAGCAAAAACACCGTCACCAGAAATTCTCCCATTGCAGCCCACGACTGATTTAAGGAGATTTTCTTGCTGGCTTCATGCACCTTCAACCAGTCTATGGTTGCTATCTTCGTAGTCAAGTATTCCTGGCGCTACATAGTAGAGATCATTGCGCATATAGTTGTGTAATGTACATGCAGCCATGACTAACTGCGATGCCTTTTATGGAGAAAGATTAATGCAAGTTAAGAAAACTCTAAATTTCATTGCCAAAACGCCAAAGGCGTTCTCCACAACTCTCCTTGCCCTCGAAAGCCTGTAATTAAAAACTCTTTGATCGCATGTCAAATTACGAAGTGGAAATGTCTTTAGAAGATCTGTTCTCAATGGAAATGCTTCATCTCAAAGAATATGGAATGATAAGTGGCTATCAGTTCCCGGTAGAGGATCACATTCTGGAAAGCCTTTTATTTAATACCGCCAACAATGTGCAAACAGCAAAAACATCGTCACCAGAAATTCTCCCATTGCATCCCACGTCGACATAAATTTATAATTGTCATCGACGAGTGCCATAAGCACAACTAAAAAGTGCTTATAATTTAGTACAGCGACCCACTGTTGTTGGGAGCCATCAATGCTACATGTTTCCCATCTATAGCACCTAAAGTGTTTGGGAAATTCCATTTGTTGTGGAATTGCCAGGCTATTTGTCTCCAGTCTTCTTCCGATTGTTGCATCAAAAATCTTAAAAATTAAAACATAATTAATTATCTAAATCTGTGTTTCAATATGGTTTAAAAATGATTGCTTTTTAACTATGATACAGATAGTTGATGATCAACACAAAGAGGAATACAACAAGCTAGCATAAATCAACTCAAGCGAAGACGAGGTAACAATACTAGAAGAAACTCAATCGAGTATGATGCCTAAAGTTCATGTGTTCGCTAATGCCACATCCAGACCTACAGAGGATTCCAAACGAGGAAACATTGGTCCCAACCAAAGGAAATTACCTAAAAAAAAAAAGACTGACTATTTGGAGATTGAATTGCTTAGTCAATATCTGAGCCAATTATTTTCCCTCAACAGGTGGAGGATGAAGATGACCTTTTTGGCCAATATGTAGCTTCCAAAATTACTATTTTTGAATTTTTGATTTTTAAAATCTCATAAATCCACAAATCATATTTACAAATAAGTTGAAGTAAAAACAAAATAGCACATAAATTGTATAGATAAACCTCATTAATGTACTTGAAAACATATTACATTTGAAAAGTTAGGTATCGCGTTATGGTAACTGTTAAAATGAACATACACTGTGGTAGGGTGCTCAGATCTGTTTTGAAATTTGAGGGGACATTTGTCACCTGAGGCCGACCATGGTCATGACTGAGGTATGAAGATTTGAGGAAATACCTCTCAAAGAAAAGTATTTGTAAATTACAGATGTCCCAAAAATGAAAAAAAGGATTATGAATCTAGTAGGTGGTTTGCAATATTCTGGACACCCTCTTGAAATATTCTAGAGAGGCCAAAATATTTTGGATCTCCTCTTAAAATACTTCTTCATTTTATAACGTTTGATTTAATGTACCTGATATTATTACTACCTAGATCATTACAACATGAATAAGTTGTTGCGGCAGCAGATGGGGTGGTGACAACTGATATTGTGGCATCACCGGAACTGGCAGCCCATGACTGTTCTGGGAGAGGGTTGGATCAGCTAAGTATGAGAAAATGTAACCACAGACATTCACTGCACGAAATGATTTCCGTGATGGCATGATCGTGTGTCTGAAAAGTCTCTTCAGCCGTGACATGGGCCTTAATATGTTCTTGAATGTTCTAGAATTGAGATCAAGGCCCAGGTCTTCTGGTATGCCATTGCGCGCAGCAAAGGGAATTGACAGGGGAGCTAGTGTCTGATATTGTGCCTTCGTTTGAGTACCAGGCAAGAAAGGAGCAAAGGGTTCAGTGGCACGAGTTGACAAGATGCAATGATCCAAAGAAGCTTTGAAAACATCATACATTTTCAGTGCGGTAAATGTAACTTTAAAAACAAATCATATCCTCAATATGGAAAGCCGAATCTGCCAAAAGTACTAAACACCCATTCAACAATAAATTGCACCAAATTCAAACCATTCAAACATATTCCAAATGATTCAATAGGCAGTCACACATTCAGGTAATACTCGCACCATCACATACGTAGAACGTAAATTAAGCGCAGATTCATCATCTCACAAAATTGATGTTCTCTCGCAGAATTCTTGTGTTGGCTAGAAAACATCAATTATGATTGCTGCTGTAACAATGATTGATAACGCTGAGTATCAAATGCCAGATTCTTCGTATCTTATTTTACTCTTAATTTTTTCTTTAACCCATTATACTTATCTCTGAGAGCTCTTTTGTTAGTTTTGAAGCTGTCGCCCCAGCACTCATTCAGTTTTTCCGCCAGTAACTTCCATTGTGCACCACAGTTGTTTGAATTATATCTATAGTGCTATGTTTGAATTAAGCATCTCATTAATCAAATCATGGCTCATATCTTCATCCCTTCTACAGACTTCTCAATTTAGTAGTAGTCTTCAAAAATATTTCGTGCCTCATCCAGTTTCTCAGAGAAACTTGACAACAGCGTTTTTGTGGTACACCTAAGGTCTGCGAAAGCTTTGGCGTATTGGTAAGCTGGGTTGATGTGTACAAGGGGAGCTATATGACAGGACGTCCTGTTCTGATTTGCGAAGTATAGTAACAATGAGTTGTTCTGTAACAGGCTAACAAAATACCAAAAGCACCGATTAATTTGTCATTCTTTGAGGATTATGTAGCTGTTGGTTACAGATGTATCAAAGCCAGAATAGCCTCATTTATGCCACCATCACGACTTTCTATCTACAGTGTAATAGGACTTCAGCTTGTCTGCATGGTCGACTTCCCCATGTATCTGAACAAGCAAGCTTGTGGGCAGGGTAACTCACCCCTTTTTCCTCTGCTGATGGTAGTAAGGGGTACATCTCTTGAGTGTGTGAAGCTGAGAAAAAAAATAGCTTCTTATCATTCCATGAATATTCTCATATTCCATCATCATGTTTCTTGAAGTGTGTCTCCCCGCGCAGCATATTTTCCTCTAGTGGTTTTAGGTCTACAGTTTTGTTGAAAATTCTGGCAGTTTCGTTGAATTGTCCCACAGCAATACATCCAGATTTCCTGTAGGTCCCAAGGGGCAAAGATGTGAAAAGGCGATTATAGTGTAAAAGGCAATGGTAACAGTTGTGTAAGCAAGGTGTGATGAGGCTTGTTACAGCTTTGCAACCTACAGTAGATCAGTGTAATTATTTGGTTCCCCAAACTTTCCCATTTAAGTTTTGAAATTGTAAATGCCACCATTTCTGGCATCTGCGAGTGTCTAAATTTTGAATTGGTGCTTTATGGGTTTGAAGGATCGTATTGTTTTCCAATATGTCGACCTCTGAATTCCACCATGGCTTTGTCAGCAGCAATTTGTTCAGAGATTTTGTAGTGTTGTGGATATGCAGGAGTTCAGACAGTCTGGATCTGGTCCTTCAGGCATAAAAAAAATTATGCTAGTAGTTTGAGCCCAAAACCTACCAGCTGCAGGGCCCCCAAAATCATGTACTAGAAATTCAACCTTTTTTTGCAAGGGATGCCATTTACGCGGTTCTTCCGCATGTCTCTGCTCTTCTATAGCACGTCTACCACGTCCTCTAGGGGCCCTGCATCCTCTTCCATGCCCTCACCTCCTGCCTCCCCTTCCAAGCCCCTGCCTCTTGCTCCCCTATGTACTCTCCCACTCTGCCTACTTCCCAAGCATCCTCCTACCTCTAGTAACTCCACAAGAATGCCTCCTGTAGCAACCTTTCTACAGAATCCACTAGCAGTCCTCCTTCCAATTATTCCCCTACTGTAACTACTTCCCCTGATTCCACATTGCACCAACATAGGCCCTCTTTCTGACATGGGTCCCATCCGCTAGGCCAGGGCCAGGTTATTGGTAGACATAGAAGGACTGCAGAGCCAGGCCCATCACCCGACCTTCCTCCTCCTTGAGGAAGTACCCCTCCAACTCCTCTGATGCAGCCTGGTCAGTAAAATCATTGTGGGGCGCATCATGGTAGGAACCACTGTTGTCAGATGCTTTACCTCTGCTATCGCTAGGAATGTCAGAAACTTCCCTAAAACGAACTGGAATTTGTCGACAGCATACTGGCCTTTTGGGATTTCTTCTGACATCTCGGATTAAAGGCTTGTCAAAAAAATTGATAAAAATCAGTTAAAAATTGAGTGAAACCAAAAGTGTTTGGTACTTTTTTGTTCAAGCAGCTTCTTCTGGTCTACCTTCGCCAAAAGATATATAGATAGTATCCTTTCCTTTACCTGTTGCATTTCAGACAACACAATGGGATACACATTTCTCATTATCAAAGATAGCCACTGTGTCTAGAAGTACAGATTCACGAGACCATAAGGCACTTTGTACCTCATTTTGATATTCGCAAGAATAGTTCATTGCGAAGTCCATTTGGATAACCATTGAATCTTTCTTCAAATGATTGAGCCTGAATTCTTTTCACTCTAACATGCCCTTGGAAGATTGGCATAAATTACATGATCAGGTTTTGTAATTCACCATAGCAACTACTCTTTATAACTTTCTTCAGCCTTTATTTTCTTTTTTTTTTTTTCCATTTCTTAAAGGTAATTTCTTTGTCTCTCGGTAGATTTTGAAGCTTCTCTAGTGTCTGTATGCCACAGGAATTACGGTAATATTTAGACCAAGATTTTTTGCTAGCAGTGTTACAAATTCTTTTTGTTTACCTGGTGATTTTGGAAGAGTGGTACCTGTTCGCTTCACTGCCTTTCCAAGACACAGACTTCTAAAACATTTTCTTGCTTCTCTTTTCTCAATTTCTGTTTTCTCAGTGCCATCTTTCTTCGATAAGCATTGAGCTCATGCTTGCTCATTACTTAAACTCTCTTTGTATGTAATCAACTTGTTGACTTTCTTGTCAGCATCTTTTTTTCCCCCTCATTCTGTACTTTTTTATTTTCTCTAGATGCAGCAGCTTGCATCTAATCTAAATCTGTGGGTTCATCTATGAGCATTATGTCTCCTCTCTTCCAACTGCCTCTTGTGCCCTCTCCGATTAAGTATACCCTGGAAGAGATGTGGTGAGAGTGAAATTCTAATGTTTAGGACTTCTGGCTCGCCAAGTCACAGAATTTAATGGTAGTAGCATCATCACTGTAATGATGTAAGATGTGGATGGACAACAGAGACTAAATAGAGAAGTATGAGCTAACTTCAACATTTATTTAAAAAAGCAAGATTGCTGACAAATTACATGTGTGTGTGGTAAAAACCACTGGATTGCCAAGTCTCTCTGATCTTTCATATAAATGGGGTGGATGCTGCACTTTAAAGAATAAAGGCTGAATTTATCTGCCCCAGCTTTCTCAAAGGAAGTCCAGAAAGCAACAGTATCATATCACAACTATAACAATCAATACTCACCCATGCAAAAAAATAAAAGTAATTGGCATTTCAAATGCCCATGAGCCAAACTGAGGTCCTTATACAATAATACATCAAGTTTTTGGACTCGGTGGCAATATTTTCTCATTTTTAATTTTCTTTTTTATTATTTGTTAACGTGTTTTGTTGTTGTTTTTTTTTTATGTTACTCCGTTATTTTGCATGATTGTGGTCTGAATACTGTTAGCGCCTTGAGAGGATTTCATTGTGGAAAGTCCTTTACAAATATACTAATACTACCATCATTACCATGAATGACAGGTAGCATGAAAAAACATTCCACTTGTCATCAAACTCTCTAGTAATCTCAAGCCCCTCACTTGATAGCATGAGTATGTCACCCAGTTGGTATGAAAGTTGAATTCTATGCTTACAAAATTTAGCATGTGTTTTCCTTGTCATGTGAATTTATATGCTTATGTTTATGACAAGACAAATCAGTTGTGTTCAGGTCATTGCGAAACTGGATCAGTGAATTTAATATACATCCAACAGTGTAAACACCAATACCACTACTACTAAGAACTTGAAGAATGTTCATCCAGTTTATAGGAATTTTTGTGCAAGGAAGACATTTTGCCTGCAAACTGGGTGTCGGGTAGAACACTTGTACGAAGTATATCACAAGACAAACCAGTTGTGTACTTTAAGAACTTGAACTGAAGAATGTTAACCCAGTGTATTGGAATTATAAGGAAGACATTTTTGTTTCTGGAAATGTTATTATGTGAGAATTGTGCATTATGTCTAAAAAAGTGTGTGCAGTTGAACACTTAAAAGATCACAAGACAATCCAGTTGTTCTTACTAAACTGGCATGCATGTGTTATTCAAACTTTATGAACCCAAATTAAAGGAACTCATCAGATTATTGAAGTTATGCAAAGATGGAAGTTTTATTTCTGTGGAAGACAGTTAATTACATGAAACTGCAACTATGAGTGATGCCTGCAGACATTTTGTGGCCAACCTTGTTTTCATATCTTATGGAAGCATCGTCACATTCAATAAAGAGGGGTAAGTTTAAAGCACTAGTTATGCCATGCTATACGAAAATTCCAGATATTAGAGTCCCATTACATGTTTTTACAAGAATTTCTTCTTCCGAACTTGTTTGTACAGTGTACTCTGAAGTATTTGTATAGCATGGTGTTTTAACTCAGAAGTTATTTACAGTACTACAATATCTTAATGTGTATGTCAGTATGACTCAACACAAAGAAACATGGTCATTCTTGTATTGAAAAAACATGAATTGCTATAATGAATTATTGCTTCTTTTTTTCATCTATTATAGTACAGTATATGAAAGAAAGCATGAATTAAGGCCGGTGTAGAATATGGCAACTACTAAGATGTCGGATGAACACAAAAAGCAACAATAAAAATGACTGGAGAGCCAAGCTAAAGATTAAGGAGGTAAATTTCCATTTGTATTCCAATCAGGAGTAAATATGAAATTCTAGTTGGTTTAGCATGATTAAATATATACTGATGGAAAATATATATATAAGAAATAATATTTACCATTATTTAAAATAATAATGATTTATGTTAAATTGGTAGAATGGATTATGGACCTATTAATATGAATAGGTCCAAGGTTGGAGGCAGTATGCTTTTGTCACAAACAATTAAATAATTAAGAAACTGAATTGCACAGAAAACGCACTATAGATTAATTACAAGAACAATCATACCCCTTTCTTTGCCATGTTCTGCACAATATCAGTTTTTTTTAATAAAAACCATAGCAATTCCCATTTCTATACTTTATACTCATAGAACTTATTCAATGAAAGCAGCAAATTGTGTATATTATTAATATGAAGTACATTCCTATATTTTTCAGGTTGAGCAATTCTGTACCCAGACGGAGGAAGCTCCACCAAAATCGTGAACATTAAACTCAACATGACTCAAAATGTTATTGTATAGTTGTTTTGATTGAGGGGTCCAGACTGTATTGCCTTCAGTTATCAGAATGGAAGGAACAAAATGAAGGTAAATAATGTGTTAGCTGTAAACTCGTATATGTACGTCATTTTGTATGTGTCGCCTACTGTATATAGTTAAACATTAATATGGTTTTTTTGTATTGAGAATATTTTGTTTTGATAGTAAACATTTGACTATGTTTTATTGCTTTGGGACAGAGTGGGATTGTGAGGATTGATCTCATGTTCGTTAAAGTTTGTTAAATATAATCTGTTAGTTGTATTTCATAAAAGCCGGGAGATCATTTTTGTTTTTATAAGTTGCATTTGTCTCATTTAAATTACATGTAGTATTTTTGGCACTTTTCTGGCAGATGTTGGGATTAAGTTGTGCAGAGTAGTTGAAACTGACAATGAATGTTTTGCACATCAGGATGCTGTGACAACTCCGACAGCCTTGTTCACACGAGTGAGCCCTTCAGGAAACGCACCTCATATTCAACCCAGAATCATGCAAACAGTTTGACACAAACTGCCAGATAACACAAAAGCAATTCACAATTCCAATTGCTGAATATCAGCAATGTGCATTCCAAGTACATGACATTTCTGTAATTGATATTTTAAACAATGATGAGGTTAATAATTGTGATAGATCTTTAGAGGATATTCATCAACTGCAAAGACACTCAGCAATTATGTAAATGTGATAATTCTAGGAGTTTTTCCTTGAAAACTGTGAGCACTGCATGAAAAGCTATACTGGAGGTGAATATCAGTGCTTTAGAATATCGGGGCACACTGAAAAAGATAGTGTTGCGAGAATTTCTTGTCTTCTGAATGAATTAGCTGCTGAAGAGTAATAAAAACTTGACATGAGCAACAAATGAAAACCTCATCTGTAATGTTGATTGTGGACAGGTTAATTGCAGTATAATAGATTATTATGTTAACTTTCTGCTCTTGTCTCCATAAAGTTGTTTTACCCTCTCACAAGAATACAAAGACAATATTCATTTTCTGTAAATTAAATTAAGAATGATATGGTTAATGGTTTTCTATTCTCTAATGTTTTTTTCATAATTAGGTTTTTATTCAAATATTAAATTAGTTTTTGAATAACAGTTGAGATAATAAAGTGTGACAAGCTCATAGTGATGTGTTGTGTGTGTGTGTGGTGTAGTACTGTACTCAATGCATACTCAGTAAAAAATTAAACCCTTTTTAAAATTACAGCAATATCAAAAGCCAATGGGCAGAAATGCCCTTTTAAAATCCTTTAAACAATTGCAACAAAATCTGGATAGTTAGTCGAGTAATAAACATACCGGTATATGATACTATAAGAATGTTGTAATACTGTGGCTGACACTGCAAGCCAAAAGACTGTACAATTACCTAAAAAGCAAGGCCTTGTTCTGTACTTACACTTTGCCAAGCATGGAACTCGTTTTTCCCACCCCTTCTTTGCCAAGGAACATGACTCTGGAATTAACCATCATAATTTCCCCATTCTGGACTTCATATGTGAATGCTTTAATGGCTTTAGGACCTCTCGCTAATATTTCTCCTGGAACTGATAGCTCTTATGGATATAAAATATAACAAATATTATTTAGTTTACTACAGTAGTATTCTTATGCTATGTATTCCTTCCATCAATTTTATAGTTTACATTAAACATATTGTGATTATTTTGTTGAAAAAAAATTCCCATCACAGTACAAACTGATTTCTAAAAATAACATCAAAATATGTAATTTTATATATATTTGTGTGTGTATATAACTTGCTTCTTTAATGGTAAATTCATTATAGATTTTTCTTTAATAATTTGTATTCAGTTTTATATATTATTTTGAATTAACTCATTTTGTAAATTAAGAATTAAAATAATTACTGTATACTGATTAATTTGTTTATGCTTACCTTATTGTAGAAGTAATTGGTGGTACAGTTGGCTCTTCAAACTTTTTGACAAGTGAAGAATGTTGTTCATGCAATTGTTTTTCTTTTTCATGTTTTTTGATGAGCTACCTGCCTCATCAGTAGCACTGCTACTGTTTATTTCCTTACGAATTCCATGTTTTGTTAAAGTTTGTTATTTTATGTACTGTAGTTAATTCTTTTATTCCACTATCAAATGTAAAAATGGGGTTGGGGACCCTGTGGCTTTCTGAGACTGGGGCCTTTTTTGGGTCCCGAGCGCCAATGTCAGTGTAGAATTTCAGATATGCTCATTTTAAATCATTTTTTCATTGTATTTGTTACATCCTCGCCTAGTTTTAATTAACTTCTTTATATAATTATATATAATATAATATTTTGTAGTTAGCATTTTTATGACCTTAAGTTTTACGCAACATTTTCTAGGAAAGTACTGTTTCCTTATTTTAATTTGTTTTACTTTGTAAAGCTTATAAATATTATTATCCTACAGTACGCTATTGTCCTATGACACACAAGTTCCTTTACCCGTGGTCAGTATTTAATTAACACAAGGTAAATGAACTGAGCTTGGAATCTCCAAGACTTGAATGTGGTTTCACATCCTGGACATTTACTTTCAGTTGGTCCAAACCACTTATTTATTACCTTAATTAAGTATATGCTGTCTCTTATACACATCTAGATGTGTATAAGAGACAGCGTTCCAGGGCAGCAGCGCCAGACTCGCTCTGCCACCAGCCATGGAACAACATTATGGCTGCCGCTTTGAAACTGGAATAAAAAGTAAATAATTAAATTGACTCCGATTCAGGAAATAATGTGTTAATAAGACAAATACTATATATATATAGCATGAAGTGATTTAAAAACATTATTTTCATCACGATTGAGAAAAAAAAATTGTGGGTCTTCGTTTTTCGGTCTTCATTTTGTAGACACCCATAATATATGGGTGTCTATAAAACGAAGACCTTTGATAATTTCACAAACAAAAGTTCAAATAACCTCGTAATTGTGATTTATATATATATATATATATATATATGTGTGTATATATAACTTGCTTCTTTAATGGTAAATTCATTACATTTTTCTTTAATAATTTGTATTCAGTTTTATATATTATTTTGAATTAACTCATTTTGTAAATTAAGAATTAAAAAAATTAATTATTGTATACTGATTAATTTGTTTATGCTTACCTTATTGTAGAAGTAATTGGTGGTACAGTTGGCTCTTCAAACTTTTGACAAGTGAAGAATGTTGTTCATGCAATTGTTTTTCTTTTTCATGTTTTTTGATGAGCTACCTGCCTCATCAGTAGCACTGCTACTGTTTATTTCCTTACGAATTCCATGTTTAGTTAAAGTTTGTTATTTTATGTACTGTAGTTAATTCTTTTATTTTGTTCCACTATCAAATGTAAAAATGGGGTTGGGGACTCTGTGGCTTTCTGAGCCTGGGGCCTTTTTTGGGTCCCGAGCGCCAATGTCAGTGTAGAATTTCAGATATGCTCATTTAAATCATTTTTGTCATTGTATTTGTTACATCCTTGCCTAGTTTTAATTAACTTCTTTATATAATTATATATAATATAATTTTTTGTAGTTAGCATTTTTATGACCTTAAGTTTTACACAACATTTTCTAGGAAAGTACTGTTTCCTTATTTTAATTTGTTTTACTTTGTAAAGCTCATAAATATTATTATCCTACAGTATGCTATTGTCCTATGACACACAAGTTCCTTTACCCGTGGTCAGTATTTAATTAACACAAGGTAAATGAATTGAGCTTGGAATCTCCAAGACTTGAATGTGGTTTCACATCCTGGACATTTACTTTCAGTTGGTCCAAACCACTTATTTATTACCTTAATTAAAGTATATGTTTATCGGACTCTTTACTGTAGCTTTTAATTGGTGGATTAGTTTGCTAAACTTGTTGGAATTGATGCCCTGATTGGATGATACCCTTAATATGCAAAGTGTTACATCTTAAATGATCTTACTACCCTAAGTAATTCAGTTGTAATTTGGGATCCAGTTCAGACAACTCAAGACATCTTTATTACCTGGAACCCTGTTATTTTGTCCGGCATCAGTTCCTCCCTGATCTGTAAGTAAAGTACTTAAATTGCTGCTTCAGGTTCTAACCAGCACCATCCTCAGCTCATTTATATGTTTAGTTTCTATCTTGGTTTAATTACCGTATTTATAATGGCATTGTAAATAAATTATATATATTTTGTAAATACACAAAAGTTGTGATCTCTTCTCTGTTAGTTATTCTGAGCCGTAACGTAACAGTATTCTAGAAGTTTTTAAGGACAAAATCAATAATATTTTATCAGTGGCAGATCCAGGAAATTTGAAAAAAAAAAAAGGGACCAGAGAGACTTTCACAAATGGAGAGCCTAATACCACTTAGCCCAACGATGGTTGGGGCTGAGGTAAGAAAAATTATGATTAGGCACCTAGAATGCCGGAAATGGCACTCATATTTTAAATTTGAATATAATCATCATTTTATCTAATAATAATAATTTATTTTAATCTATTGTTTACAAATTTAGGGTTTCTCTTTAATCTGCCACTGGATATTACATAGTTCATATGTCCTACAGTTTCGGTCTTGGCAAACCTTTGCTAATAGGTACACTTTCTCCATCAAAAGGCTTCTTCTATGAAAGCACTGAAGCCCTGCGCTATTATAGGGGCCGATTCATAAATAGATCTAAAAATAATTTCAAGTAATTTCCAACTTAATATCTTTGAAGAATAAAATGGCCAGCAGGCTCTCAATAATATTTAGTTTTTAGAAGAGTAATTATTGATTGTACAGTACTGTGTTCAGATTTCAAATATGGAATATTCAAGGGTGCACCAGTCGGCCCGACCCAATCTTTTTTTCATTAAAGGGAATTATAGTTTTGATGACGGTTAGAAGATGTTGATGACAATGATAATGTTGATGATGATGTAGATGAATAATGAGGATGATGCAATGATTACGTTGATAGTGATAATGATGGTGATGTATGAAGTACATGATGATGATGATGATGTATGATGCCAAAGAGGAAGATGGTGGTGATGATGTTGATGACGATGGCGATGATAATGGTGGTGGTGATGCTGCTGATGATGAAGAGGAGAGATGAAGATGTGTAGATAGTCGGGTAGGAACAGGGGGTTACCATGCACCCCAGGATATATTTTTTAACTAACATTTTTGTAATCCTCAAAGTCTCATGAAAAAATTTTGATGAAAAAAAAAATGTCCCATATGGTTGTTTGGTGGCCATTTTGGCGGCCATCTTTGATTTTAAACGAAAATCATTAATTTTTATAATTCCTTGACTAAAATCATATAAAATCAAATAAACCTCTAAATGTATATAGTAAGCAGTGTTTATGTTCTTAATACAAAAAGATTGACTTCGCATTTACATTTGACGGCCATATTGGCGGCCATCTTGGATTTTAAATGAAAATCATTAATTTGTATATTTTAATAACTAAAAATCATATTAAATCAAGTGAACCTCTAAATTTACACAGTAAGCAGTGTTTGTGCTCCCAATACAAAACACGACTTCCCAAAACATTTGGCGGTCATATCGGCAGCCATTTTGTTGGCCATCTTGGATTTTCATGAAAATCATAAAATTGTATAATTTATTAACTAAAAATCATTAAAAAAAAAATCAAGTGAACCTCTTAATGTATAATATAGTAAGCAATGTTCTAAATACAATATGTTGACCTTTTTTTGGTGGCCATCTTGGATTTTAAAATTATACAGTAAGCATTGTTTTATATTCTAAATACAAAACATTGACTTAGCAATACATTTGGCGGCCATATTGCCGGCCATTTTGTTTTGAAACCCGACCGAGTTACATTTTCTCGCAATTCACATTGGCGGATCTGGGGGAGTGGGCTCATGGGTCCTGAACCCATGACCTTTTCAGGACCCGTGAGCTGATTTTTTTTTTGTTTGTTTGTTTGTTTGTTTTGGTTTTTTTTATGTTACAATAAGAAAAT